ATTTTCTGAGATGAGGCATTTGTTTTTATACTACAATTTCTGAATTACTTTGAATAAAGCTGGAAATTATGTCCCTTAAAATAATTAAACAAATTAGGCACCAATGCTTTTGTAAGATATTTACATCTATCAAGCATATTCAGTAGACTGCTTTCCAACTGTTGTTTCAATCCCAAAACTTGTTTGTATTCATAATTAATTATGACAATGCATATTCATATTGAAACAAACTATGATAAAGGAATGATATTATATAACAAAGGGCAAGGTCACCAAAATTCAACTATGTTTGTTGATTTGTTATGTGTCTGAGTTACGTTTTTATTAATTTATATTCTCACATGTGCTTGTTAAACAATAAAATTGAAGCACTATTCTAAATAAATATCTAAAACACTCATTTCAACTGGAAACGCACATTCATGGTTGCTGGACTAACATTCCACATAGGGCCTTTATTGGTCTGACTATCTATATAGCAGGTATTCTCCAACATATACTTTACTTTCTGTACGATCCCCACAATTCAAAAAATAAAATACATCAGTACAACATACCAGTAAGTATATGGTGTCTGTACAAATAACAAACTGGTTACCACTTAGGGTTGAGAAGATTACTCATGTAATTGAACGTATACTTTACCAGTTAGGTGTTTATTTAGTTAATATATAGTGAGATTGGAAAGTTACAAGCTTGAGACAAACCAGATGGCGACAAGAACTATTACAGCAATGCACAGTGGAAGCATCGCTAGCACAAGGTGCTTTAGATTTACTAGAATCATTTGATAACTGAGCGGGATTACAGCGAGTTTTATTTGTTTACCAATCTTTCACATAGTAATTGGAATCGTAACCACTACCACAACAACAAATCTATTGCAAAAAGGTTTCTTGGATAAAGTTGTCAGGTTACTGGCGGATTTCAAATCAACTACATTCGGATCAGAGGCACGAATTTGAAGCACACATGTTCAGAGAAGACCAAGAACTCGGTCTTGTAGAAAGATTCAAGAAAACTGTAGTAGCGACATCTTGGTCTAAATCAAATCACATGTGATGAATAGCTGTCATTGCCAAAATGGTACATCGAAGTGCACTGAGACGAGGTAAGAATGCTGATCGATATTGAAATGTGTGGCATAATAAGGGCAATAAATAACTATCTTTCATGAAGAGGCTCTATTAGTATTGGTCTTTTTCATGTTTAACATCATTTAGATGTTTGCTGCAAAATGTTTAGTAAACTAGCATTGTACTAAAAACACTAAATATAACACGTAATCTATTTAGGATATGTGTTAATGAATGAATGACTGATCCACATCAAATTAGAACTTGGCCTGAGTGTAATATTTATTAGGATAATCAGAAACATCTGATGTCAGATACACTAGTTCATACATGTTCAAAAAAATGTTCATTTGACACCATCCAGAGTTAGGAAATAAACGTCTAAACAAGTTATTCATGATTGTCTGGAAAGTACTAGAGGCGTGAATTGAGGTTTTAGTTCATATGAAGATGAATTAGTAATAGATGTTTTTAAAAAGTTAGTCAGTGTTAAATAATGATAATTACAATACAATAGTTTTTTTGTTTTATGTAAATTGTTCTGCGTTCGTGATGTTTCAATAATCCCATCGTAATAAACAGTCACCTAGTGGGTAAGGTTTCCGTGTATGCTGCGGACAATATTGCATTATCTAAATATCTATATTCGTTTTGTCTGAGTAATCGCATACTATTATCTAATCATTTTGTGAACATGATAATTTCATGCGTCAAGGACTATTCTAGTAGATAATAGTGGTATATATTATATAAAGTGGTGGGTAATGTACTGTGTGACAATATACAATGAAATGTTGTAGGTAATGAGCAACGTATTTGCTCACAATTATGATTCAATTTTCCAAATTGGTGCAACAATTTTTATTTTCGCCTAAAATTGCGATTTCATCTACCATTTTACTGCCCTCAGTGATAAGAAGATGTAAGTTGCATAGCATCATGGGAATAAAGCCATGATTACAAAATACCCGTGACTACGCTAGAAGACTAACACCACCAGAAACTCTGATTTAATATTCGTATTTAAGGCAAGTGTTTTTTGTTACAGTGTCGTACCAAATGTCATATCAACTTCATGAAGATGGACACTATAATGTGACCATTATATATATAATGTGTCCAACCTCAGCAATATCGCGTCGATCTTTATAGTCACCATTTTTGAGGTAGGCTCTATGACATCAACCTGGAGGATTTGATGTACGCCTACATTGGATTGTGACAGTAGTCTCTAATAATTGCAATATTTGTTGATATACAACAGCTGTCTCTGTCGCAATTTACACGCAATTAGTGCACACAATTTTTTTATTAGTTTTATGATAGTTGATATTAATATTAGATGTCTATAAAGAAAATTGCTGCACTAAAAAATCTAAATCTATATAACATAACCCGATAGAAATAGAAAAAATATAATGAAAGCAATCTAATAGTCACGAATTCACTCAAAAAAACTAGGTTTATTATATCGTATCAATGCCTTGCGATATTTACCAGCACAAGTTAGTTAGGGATAATAGATAAAAATAAACACAAGCATTTGAATTTTTCAAAGCTTTCATGCTTACTATTTAAATCTAAAAAAAATAGTTCGTGGTATAACCCAAATAAATAAGCTTCCATATTTTAAATGTAATTGAAATGAAATTTATTTATTTAATACAACCACAACAGCCATATAAGGCCAATAACAGGTGGTGTGTTAGTAGACAAATTTGTTAATTACAATACAACAGTAAACTAAATTAAAATTAAAAAATAATAGACTTAAGCTTCTGATTCAAATTAGACAATCCCAGATTAAAAATTTCGCAGTTTATGTTGTTATTAAAAAACCTAGGCAAACTACTTAAAACACCATTCTTAGTGACTTCAATGCGTCCAATTGGTAGAATAAAAAGGGACATATGTAAACTGATAAAGAATATAATTTACAACTGTACGACCCTAAGTCACATAAAAACCATATCAAAATAATTTCTGCGTGCTGCACATAATTTCATATTGTGTGCCCACGTCCAAGCCAACTATATACAAATATACAAATTTATAAAAAAATACACTTGACTCTTTCCATGTATTTGACACCAGTTTGATACCATTCCATATAACGCTACAATATTCAAGCCTGTTACGAGTATAGGAAAAATAAATAACCTTTAAGGTGTCAACATTCTTTATATTGTGACAATTACGTTTAATAAACCCGAGCATGTGATTTGAAATTTTTAGAATATTTTAGTAAGATACACAAATATAGACATTCATCTACACACACGGAAACCAATATACGCATATATCGATATATTTGTATCGGGTATTAATATATTAATCGAGGTACACTACTCTTGAGTTTGTAACCATAACTAACACATTCCCAAAATACTCTACCAATGTTGGGTTTGAGTTGATTGTGTATTTTTTTTCCAGCTGGCACACATTAAGGCGAAATATTTAAGGGCGGCACAATAGTCGGATAGACAAATATATTGACCAAAATGAAATTCATATCAGTTTGATTTTTAGTTCAAGCCATATGCGATTTAAATTACCTTGACGATCACACCTGGGATATCTATAATGGTCAAGACTAACAAAAACATAGCAGGCAGCATCGCACATTTAAACATGTTGTGAATACTACTCAATGCTAGATATGCAGCGCCAGCTCACTCTTTATATGTCATTCATGGTATGATCAAATATAACTCAGTACCGATGTGTTGAAGTCTACGAGTTGACAGAGACGATCATCCGTTATTATAATAGCAGCTGTATAAAATGATGGTACTATCATTTGTTCGGTTAGCATTGTGCTTCATAGGTAGTTCGGGGTATAAGATGAGAGACAAGCAAAAAACTCAATGTTTTTATAACAGATATATAATATTGTGTTCATTATCAGACAGGGTGTAGCTGTACATGTCTACTGTATTATACCACGGTTACTAAAAACCGTGATTATACTATATAGATAGATTCTCTTGACTAAATTATAACATATTCCAATTGACCATCAATCAAAAGTACTGCAGACAGCTCATGTGTAGACCCGAATACAAGGGTCCGTGATATGGTCAAATGTGTGTTTCTTTCATAGATAGGGAACAATATGTGACGAGGATGAGTGGCTGGTTAAGTCGAAAACATTTTCTTATTTTTGTAAAATAGATAAAACACTCTCTTATGGTTTCACTGCCAATCTGTCTGAACCTTCAATGTCAGATTTAGAAGCTGTATTGCATACGAGTTGTCGTACTGACGCCAATTATTTTTAGGGTTGTGGTAATTTTAACATTGTCGATTGGTGCCTCAAGACCTTTAATTGCTTTTGAGCCGCACATTGCCACTGTATTGTAAAATAGTAATTACATCAGTAGTTTAGTAATGATAATGCCAATTTACTGAATTATCTAGTCTTGGGTGTTCTCTGTAATTTTTGTTATTAGGCCATTCGTCTTTGCTGGAGTAAATGTACGCCTATGATAAATATTATTGATTTAAGGTTAAAATTAAATGAAGGAATTAGTTTTGTTATCATACATCAATTATTGATGTTGTTCTTAGTTTATGTTAAATCATTATAAGTATTTATTTCTATGCAACGATGGTTTGCAATTTATAACCAATATTTACACGTACAATATTTACAATTATCGGACGAAACTTGACCAGTACATTCCCCTTTTCCGTCGTATATATAACAACATAAACCATTTGTCGAAAATAACATTTTTTAATCTGTAACTGGTTCGTTTCGCTAATTACAGATAATAAAAACGTGATACTAGTATATTTATGCCACAAACGCGTATATAGTTTAAAACCAACTACGCTTGTACTCGCGCCTAGGCTAATCTAAACAAAATGAAAAAACAATGTGAACATAATGATAAAATATTATAAGAATGTGAACATAATGATAAAATATTATAAAAATGTGAACATAATGATAAAATATTATAAAAATGTGAACATAATGATAAAATATTATAAAAATGTGAAGATAATGATGAAATAAAGAAAAATGAAAACATAATTATAACGATAACAATTTGAACATAGTGATAAAATAATATAAAAATGGGAACACAATGATGAAATAATGTAAACATGCTAACACAGTTAAAAAATAATATGTGAACATAATGATAAATAATATAAAAATGTGAACATAATGATGACATAATGTAAAAATGCTAAAAAAATGAAAAAAATAATGGTATAATAAAATAAAAATGTGAACATAATAGTAAAATGCTAAGAGAAATGTTTTTGGCACTGATCTCACCCCATAGGTGTGTTAGACGTAGTTTTTAAAACAAACTTTGATGACCTGTGTTTAGTTTTTTGTAAAATATACTACATAAACATGCCACCACAAGCTTGTTTCAGTAATAAATAATAAATATGATTTGTATGCCAGTTTATCATTTGTGGAAAATGTTAGATGTTTAGCTGTTATACTTTTTAAGGTTTGGTAGTTTACCAGAATGACACTCTATGACGTCATTTTGAATTCGCCCTAATTTGCATAATGGGTTAAGTTTGAGTTTCAGTGTCATCTGGACTTAATGTATTTAGCATGGGTATAAGCCAAAAACTAGCATTGGTGACACCTTCTAACATTACAATTTCTCTAAAGTAATAATTCGCATAACTAATTATAATATTTAAGACATGGACACCTTACTTGAAGATTTTCGAATAACATTTTATATAATAAAAAAATGAATTTCCATAATTCGAAATGGCATGTGCATTATCTTGGGCAACGTAATACAAACTCACATATACAAATTGCGACATATTGGTTCAAAATTCATTTCAAGATAATAAATATGCCATAACCTTGTAGATGGGTGCAACATAATGGTTATGTATGTTATTAACTATAACTAACTGATCTATGCTGATAATATTCGCTACATGTAATATGAATGAATTATGATTTGTTAATAGGATATTTCAATGGAAGAAAACATGGAGACTATTCCAGATCACAACAAAGGGAGTGAAGTAAAGGACGTACAACGGTAACCATTCAATTATGATATGAGAAATTATAGCATCTAATAAAAACGAAAAACGTTTTCCGCTGTGCAAACATTTGAGTGTGCGATGGGCTTATATTTTCATCGTTCTATGGCGCTTTTGCGTCCAATGTAAACAAAGGTACGGCTTTTGACGGAACGGTAAATTCTATCAATGTATAATAATACATGGACGTATTGGGTCATCCAAAACGAATACATACCAACGAAACAACTAATTGATCAAAAGGATAAAGGATGTAAATCAACTGACCGAACTGATCAACTTAACAATCAATGCAGTTATTAAGTCGTCAAGCAAAAAAAGGATCACTATCCACCTGACCATCCCTAAAACGAATGGTAGTTGAGTTTATCTTTGTCATATAATTACTCGACTATAATAGCAGATGACATATAACAGGATCTACACTAAATGCAAAGAAGATTGTAAGAAGGCAAGCGTTAGCTAATTGCAATAATATGTGTTTTTCAGTAAGTTTATAATTGGATCAGATTGACCTGATAATTGGTGGACATTCTGAACAAGAATACCTGTGACAGCCTTAAACATTAAAAAAATGTCTTATCTGTACTAAATATATGGTTTTACTTACCAACTTCATAGAAACAGACTTGAATTATCAATTAATCTTGACAGATCAGATTATGTTAATTAAGATTATAGACTGAAATTGTCATATTTTATCTAAATTGACAATGACCAGTTGAAACATGCATTGTGCTCAATATTCACAAGCATATCCTAAAACCTATATACATGGCATTTTTTTTAAACAACTGCTACATCATTGTTTATAATATTTATACCAGTGATGCATTGGTGGACACTAAGAAATGCGAATATATATTTTCCTAAATGTCATCGGTACCACATTCTTACTCAATGCGTTATTGAAAGATTTGATATCATATTTCGACAGTTTCATATATATTTGAGCTGGGCATTATTATATATATACACGTGGTATGTGTACAGGATTAATTTCATGGAGCAAAACCAAAATAGTATAATTTATGATTTTTACTCTTTCAGCGAAACTCTGCCACTAGGCGATGTTGGTTTATTATCATTTATATATATTACATGGTTATCTCCGTTGATCAAAAAGTCATTTAAGACAGGGCTGATTGCAAATGACCTTTGGCAGTGCGGAAAAGCTGATTCAGCAGAATATAATGCACTGAGGTATATATTAGTTATATGATGACAGCACTGCAGAAAATGTATATTTTGATATTGTACACATATTGTACTACATGCTAGCATATCTAACGATGTGAATGATATGATAATGATATAGTGTTACAACGATTGCAATTTGATTTATCTTTTTAATTACTTTTGTCTCAGATTTGAACGACTATGGATAGATGAGCTTGAAAAGCGTGGAAGAGAAAAATCGTCCCTTTTTGCTGTGTTTATCAGATTTATCAAGTTTCACATTTCCATCAGTATTGTTTCTATGCTGATATTTAATGCAACGTTGTTCTGCCTTACAGTGAGTATTGTAATTATTTTATTGGAAACATAATTATATAGACGTAACATTGCATCTCTTCAAACACTTCTATATATCATGGTTTTATTGTAATAATTTGAGGTTATTACCAGGATAACTCAAAGTATGAAAGAAGACAGTGAAGTTGGAGTATCGACCGACGCGTACTGTCTGAGTGCATACTTTAAGGTGCCCTCGTAATAACCTTATTATTATTATACATCTTTTCCTTCCAAGGATACATCATGGAAATGCCGAAATTCAAAAAAGTTTAGAACAGAATCAGCGAACTTCTTTATGTGGAGTCCGGTCAAACCCTGGTGGCAGCCATGTTTGTTTGTTTTTATTAGAGAACGCTTACGCGCGTAATCATTCCATATTTGGAATTCGCATTACCATATATGATAGGATGGAAATACCCCCGACTTACGGCACGCTGTAACTTATGGCATTAAAAGATATATAATAATATCCAATAAGAAGCATGGTATTAGAATGTATGTGCTGCAACGATGTGTTCCCATTGGCCTAGTTGATACCATGTGCAGTTATCCGTAAGCAGAGGCAGGTGTGCAATGACTGCGAGTAAGTCGACAATATCCAATATATATTGTCCATATTTGTGTTGATCGAACAACAAACCTATTAGGATTCTTTCATCTGCAAAATTAACAGGCGTGCATATGCGTTAAGAACGATTATTCTTCTTTTTAAGCGTGTCATTGCGGGTATATTTGTCGTGAATACTAGAAAAAAGAACGGATCGAACTAGCGGCGAGAAAAGAATATGTGATAGCTGTCCATGTGTGTATACAATTCAAGGTCCGTTTGTGTAATTAACACAGGAATAATTTCATTTGTTTATATAAACTGTGACATTCAATCATGAAGAAGGGTTGTTTTGCCAAAACAAAATGTACTTACTACTCACAGCAGAACAAAATCACCTTTTGGAATTATAACCGTGCATACTTGGTGAAAACCCGCAATCAAAGCATGTCTTAAAAATGACAATGCTCTATTTTATTCTTAGTCAATTTTATTATTAAACATTTATTACCCCATAATTTCTGTGCTTTTAATCACTCTCTCTTATATTCCTTTATTTGAATACAACATCGTATTATATGCAGCATAGTGTTGTGAACAATGTGGTGTTTAGGAAACTTTGTCACGCTTGGCTGATAACAATTACACGTAGAGATACATGTAATATGTGTAATTCGATCCAAAGGAATACATATTAGTTCATTATTAGTTTATTCATACCGTCAGCTGAGGTAACGCCTCGCTGCACACTTCTTTCAAAACTCCAAGCCGTGGCTCAGTAAACATGTGATAAGCCAATCGCTGCAGCCGTTGGCACTATCACGTGATTCTAACGGGTAAAGCATTGCGAAGTTGCCACTACTAAATACAATTAGTAAACAATCTATTCACCCAATTCATGTAATATATGTTTATAGTTATATGCAAATCATTGATCCTAAATGTGCGTACGTGATGTCATTGTGATAACAATATTACGGGATATTGGTGTTCATTAATGGATTACAACCATTTAATCTAACAAATCTAAGGTTGGCTGTTCTGGTATCATAATAAATACAACCATTTGAATAACAATCATACCATTTCTTCAAAATAAAAGTACTCTCTCTGATGATAATCTTTATTTTTGTTATTGCAGGTGACTATATTCCATATATTGCAGTACATAGAGGGGATTGAGACGAATCTTCCATATGCATTAGGTCTGTGTTTTACAATGCTCGCACTGGAAGCTGTGCGCTCTGCAGTTAATTCATTAAATTATAATAATTCCTACATAATTGGGATGAGACTTCGAAGTGCCATTCTGGTTGCAATATATAAGAAAGTGTTGCGTCTCAGGAATTTACAAGACCAGACAATAGGAGAGGTTGGTATCCATGTTATTAAAGTGACATGCCTTGTTATTGTACCTCATGTTATCCAACAATAATAGTAACACACAGTTTGAACAATAATAATCTTGTTTTTTTCCGTTGCAAAGCTTGTTTGCATTTTTTGGGTGGAATTCGGTGAATTAATTGGAAAATTAATTGGGATAAATGTTTATAATCTGCAGATCATCAATCTATGTGCTAATGATACGCAACGTATATTTGATGCGATAACTCTGGGTGTCATTGCGGTCACAGGACCAACACGGGGAATAGCCATGGTTATATACAGTTATATATTACTTGGACCCGCTGCCTTGATTGGTGGATTAATCATCTTTCTCTCATGGCCACTACAAGTAAGTTTCCAATAGACTGGTATGTGATGTACATGTTATTTTGTTCAATTATGCCGGTAACTGTTCATTATAAATCGGTTCTTTCCGTGCATATCATACTTACTAACTTACACTAAATGTTCCAGGTGACTATTGATTTATTATTAATATGCACTGATTTATGCCAGACCTACGTAGTAGTGATATTCTTGAATATACAGCAGCTGGGAAGGCCACTAAACTGAATTTAAAGCAACTTCAGTCTGCCATTGAACTCCACCATTTTGAATGGCCAACACTCAACATACCCGAGGGAAAGCTGAATACTCACTATATTTTCACATATTATGCTACTAAGAAGAATCACGGCGTGACCCCCATATTACTATATATGAGTTATGTATACCTTTTGGTACGGCACATGGGGAACGCTTCTTAAAGGCATACTTAAACGCATTCCAAAACATTTATGACTGACATGTGCTATTTGGGGGGAAACACAGTACATTTCATGACCACCACTATTCTCATGATGCTGGAGAGCATCTTCACCAGAAATTTCTTTTCCTATAAGTTTGATGGTAGAACATGTGTGTTGCATTGTTGTTATTACATACACATTGAGGCAAGTGCTTATTAGCGGTTAAGGTACCCTTGGCATTCTACCGTGGAATGTCACAGGGGGGAATTAGTTAACTGTGAAGGGACATGTGTTTTTGGAAGTTTTTTTGGCCTATCAAGACGATCTATTCGAACATAATGACCGCTAATGTTGCTAACAAACATTTCCAGTATTAAACTTGTTCATATTTTTAAGTGACAGAAAGTAGCCAATCAGTTTTGACAACGCCTTCAATGATTTGATCACTCAATACAGTTTCATTAGATCGATAATATTGAATTTAACACTCATCGTTCAACATTGTTTTCATGTAAAAACTTAGTTTTGACCACTGGCTACAGGCTGTTTATTCTGATGTCAGATGTTCAATTTCTAGGAGTGCGGAAATTACAATAAGGCATCATAATAAGGCATACATTTGTCTCCCGCATGACTACCAAATCAGTCATGGTAGGGATAATTAACATAACCATAATCATCGTGCATCTCAAGGTTCTAATGCTCTACAACAAAGAGGAGAGTCATGGGTATTTTAACGTATATGCCATTTATGAGAGTGGGGCTCTTGAGGTATATACTGCCAATAAGATGAGTGACATGATGTGATCGTTCTGGCATACAATGTAAAAATAAAGCAGGGTGTAGGATATTCCTTGGGTCTGTTGAGAGTGTAGGGTTCCGGAACCTCTAGAAGTCTTAATTTGCTATTCACATTTGCTCAAATATGTTTACTAAATAATGCTGATCATCATGATCACTACTGCATTTATTGTTCTTTGGGGCCAAAATTGAATTCGTAACCTTTCATTTGTATATGTGTATTCCCATTGATTGTTTTACATAACTACCTGCTCCCCCTTTTCTTTTATTCAGTAAACGTAAATTTGATGCCAGTTGCACGTGTTTGATTTTTTGTCATAAGGTCCTTTCTGGGAAGCTAATCACCAAGTTTAGAATAAATACAGTGACGATGACAGACAGAAGGGTTCGCATGACTAATGAAATGATTCTCAGTATTGGATTGATCAAAATGTATGCATGGGAATATCTATTAACCAAGAAAATTCAAGGTGGGTTCTAGTAAGTGGCAGGTTTATTAACAGGGAGACGGAAATAGTCTTGCTGGAATGCTAAGTAGTTTACATTGTTCAAACAATTATAATTAAATCATGTGTTTCCTAACTTGAATGTAATGAGTGTGTACATTCTCTTCAGAAATTCGAAGCACTGAAAAGTCCTTTCTGGAAAAAGCTGGTTATTTATATTCTGCTAATGTATTTATCAATTCCATTGTGCAAGTGTTGGCAGTTTTCCTAACTTTTTTGGTGTCGGTTATGACAGGAAATGAGCTTACAGCAGCCACGGTAAGTTTCAAAAACGCAATCTTAGAAAATAAAAATAAAGAAATTTGGAATAGTTACGTAACATAAATGGGGAAACGACATTTGACATGTTACTGTGATTGATTACCACGATGAACTGAATAAAATAAAATATTATAGTACACGTGTAACACCCAAACACATTTTGAAAATTGAATTAATTCTATAAATAAGAAGTATTAACTTATTTCATGTTTGGGTCAATACCATAATGTTTTTTTATAGACCAGTAATAATGTAATTTAAATGAATAAAAAACATAACAATCTGTAAAGTGTAGAAACTTTTATTTTATTTCCTGTAAAAACGTAAAGTGCCTTTTTTATTTCCTGTAACCTGTACCAGCTACCCCCTTGCCCCTCTCACTGATTGCAATTGAGCAGTTTGGTTTCAAGAAAAAGCCTAGAATAGCATTTATACTTACATATCAAGTATCAAGCAATTGTGATGCTAGTTTTTAGGAAGAAGTCAAAAAGACTATTTTGTACCAAGAATGATAAAAATATTCATTAAATATATTTG